GGTTTAGGGTTTAGGGTTCTTATGTAGGAACCTTGATAGCTAGCATAAGATTTCGAGCAACTTTGGTCTTGTTATGTAGGGTTGAGGGTTTAGGGTTTAGGGTTTCATGTAGGAACCTTGGTAATTAGCATAAGATTTCGAGCTATATTACATTGCCAGGATGGATCTGACAACTTTGGTCTTTTTATGTAGGGACCTTAATAGTTAGAAAAGGTTTCGAGGTACATTGCACTGTACTTCTAGCAGGGAACCCAGGGGAAGAGTTCCATAACGAATTATGGATATCTTCTGGAGCCGTAAGGAACTGTATTCATCCAGACCTCCATATGAAGGGCTCAAGGTTTAAGGCTTAAGGGTTTCGGCTCAAGGTTTAAGGGTTTAGGGGGGAGTGTCCAGCTTAGGATTCAAGGGGGGGGATTCACCACCTAGAGTTCTAGTAGGTTTTGCTCGGGCGCAGAATTTGTGCGACAGGTAGCCGAAAGAGTGGTGGATCGGTTGGAAACGGGCTTGCAAGGAAGTGCCCCGACCCCAAACTCTAAACCCGAAACCCTAAATCCGAAACCCGAAACCCGAAACCCTACACTCGAAACCCTAAACCCTACACTCGAAACCCTAAACCCTAAACCCGGAACCCTATACCCCGAATTCTGGAATCTCGGTTCCATATTATGATTATGCGAAGCTTCGTTCCGGAGCCATCGGCGGAAATGCCCGGAAACGACCGCACGGGATCCAGAAGTCGAAGCTAATCGAAAGGCTCAGGCCCAAATCTAAACTCATGTTTTGGGTTTAGGCTTTCGGTTTAGGGTTTCGGGTTTAGGGTTTCGGGTTTGGGGTTACACTCTAAAGCCGTAGCCCTAAACCCCACACCATTCAATCCTGAACCCGAATGGCAAGGCCTCCACTGTCAGCAGCGTGCGAAACAAAAAGCCTGTGAAGGAGCCGCCGCCATAGGCCTCGATCCGACCCACGGACGGTTTAGGGTTTAGAGGTTTCGGGTTTAGGGTTTAGGGTTGGGTCTAGGGTTTAGGGTTTAGGGTTTAGGGTTTATGGTTTTGGGTTTTGGGTCTAGGGTTTAGGGTTTAGGGTTTGGGGATTGGGTTTGGGGTTTGGGGTAGCGCCATTTTGGTGCGGGATTGGGGATTGGAGCTTAGGGCTTTCTCTTTTTCTTGAAGTGTGTAGGTGGTTTGGGGTTTAAGGTAGCTTTCACGCTCTTTCGACGTATACATGTAGGGTTAGAACTTGGCATGCTTTTGGACTGCTGCGAAAAATCTTTTCTGCAAGGACTATGTTGGAGTATGTGTATGTCATGCATCTGCAACGTACACATGGTGGGGGTTTGTTGGTTCTCAGAAATCAGATTCAAGGATGAGTACTTTGTCGACTACGACTGCGAAGAGCTAGGAGCTGCGAACTCCCGGCGGTCACGTCTTTTTTACCGCAAGCGTGTC